TTCAAAGTTTTGCTCTCTCAACGGTTTTAGTTTAGCTTCACTTTTTCTATAAAAAGTTTAGATACAGAAGCTGGAATAATATAAATGTTAGGCAATCGATCAACCTGTTTGTGGGCTATGTCAGGTAGGATGTGATTAGTGGAATCAAGAGATTAGATTGATGAAAATTTTTTAGCAAACAATTCAGCCTTGTCTTTAGGTAAGGTAACAAAGTCTGAGCCATGCAAGACAGGTGGAATAAAAGATTTACCCTTATTATATTTGCTGTTAAAGATTCTTCAAAAGTCCCTGGAGGTTTTGAGATTACGTAAGTTACATAAGAAGCACGTTTTTCAGCATGAAAACAAAAGATTTCTACCCAAGGGTTATCACAGAGAAAATCACAGAAAGAGTCCCAATCAGCTTTAAGGTAGCTATAAGAGGTGCAATGCTAGGGAATCCTGATGATGAAGAAGATTGAGATAACAGTTTAAGAGAGATCAAATAGTTATCAGAAGCACCTAAGGGTAAATGTGGAGAAATTGAGTACTGACTACAATCAGAAACAAGACATATGTTGAGCAGAGAAGGTAAATGATTTGGATTGTATGGAAAGTCATTTTGAAAATTGACTATTTGTGTTATTAATCAAGAAAGACAAAAGTTGTGAACCTTAACGCCTGCAGAGTCACTGGCACTAAAACTGAGCCATTCAGTGTGATAAGCATTAAAGTCACCAACAACAATGATATTGGCTGCAGGATAAAGAAAAAGGATCTGGTCAATTTTATCAAAAATAACATCGAAAGAAGTGCAGTCTTGAGATGAAGGAGAGCAATATTAGTCAAAGAGAAAAGCAATAGGGTGAAGTGATGCTAAACAAAAGCACATAAACAAATAGTCTGTGGATTTAAGCCTTGTTTCTCTACAAATGGGTGAATTCTTATGAATGTAAATGCCCAGGCCATGCATGTGACTATTGGAGTTTTTATGAATTCAACATCATCAACACTAAGATAACAAGATGAGAAATCCAAATTAGTCTCACAAAAAGCAAGTAGGACTGGTGTACTTTGCAAGAGATAAGACTCAACAGAAAAGAATAATTTTGAAGACTGTGAATGTTAGTGAATAATAGATTTAGAGAACTTGGTGATGGCGATGGTTTTTTGTGTTTTATAGTTTTTGATACTTTATCATTTTTTAAATTGGTTAAAGAACTTGACTTAAAGTGCAGGTAGTACTCAGAAACCTTAAGCCGTAACCAAGAGCTCCAAATGTGGCCTCAACAATGCACACCAAAAGCACAAATAGGGGCACCATCTATGCACAATATGGCACTGTTGATACTCTGATATTTTACAGCTGTTGATGGAATCAGTCTCTCTAAGAGCTAGCACAGAGTTTGGAAAACCTGACTACCAGCCGGCCTCAAAACCATAAAACTGACTTTTAGAGAGTTACTCCTAAAACCCTCCAAAAAACTTTAATTTTGATTAGTTTTTTTACAGTTGACTATAAAAGGTGTCAAAGTAAAATTGAGATCAGTTGCAGATCATGATGGAATTTTAATATAAATAACTGATTTTTATTCATAAATAAATACTTTAACTAAAAAAAAATCAAAATAGTTTTTACTTTATTTGTTAATAAAATAATAAAGTTTTTTTGTTATTTCCAATAACATCTGCTTCACCCTTAAATTGTATATTTCATTGTGATGTCATTATGATGTCATTGATAATTTTGCATGATTTTATCATTTAAAAAAATTGGTTAATTGCATTTTTTAAATATTTTTTAAAATACTTTTTTTCTTTTTTTTATTATTACTATTTTATTTAGCTGCATCAGTTTAGGACAATAAAACTATTGTTAAATTTTAAATCTTTACCATATTTATGTAATAGGTATCAAAATAGTGACTTTTAATTGCTTATAATTATGATTATTAAATTTACACAAGTTTGCATTGAAGTTTGCATTGATTAAATAAAGAAGGTTCAAGTTAAATCTAACCTAAGTAATCTAAGTTAATCTAATCTAGTAAAGTAGAACTTGTTGAACCTATTGAAAAAACTACTTTTTTCAATAGGTTTAGGTAAAATGTTTTTTCATTAGGTTTAGTACTTTTAATAGAGGTTTCCAAGAATTTCTGAAATATAGCCTTGCTGCCTTTTTATTGTGTTGATGTAAATTTTGGTGAATTAATTAGTTGCATATTACAACAAATAAAAGATATTAGGAAATTTAAAAATATTTTCAATATCATTTTTTGTTTAGATGTTTATAATATAAACAAACATTTATAAAAAAGCCTAAAATTAGACAAAATACATTTACAAATTAGTTTTAATCTAAACACAACTTTTAAAAGTTGTAATGTTTGCATACAAACATTAGTCATTTAGTAAACATATATATATATATATATATATATATATATATATATAATATATATATATATATATATATATATATATATATATATATATATATTTCAATTTTTGTTCCAAAAAGTTTTTCTTTGGATATAATGAATTAATTTTTATTTTTCTTAATTTTAGAACCATCTTCAAAAAGTTGCACATTATCAAAAGTATATTATGGTAGTTACATATACTTTGATACTTATATTTATATTGGATACATTTCATGGAGCTTGTGTGTCAGTTTTTGTGTGGATTATCAGGAAAAAAATCCAACTCAGAACGGATATATTGCAAGTGCAATAGTTGATTTTTATGGAGACTGTCAATGTCTATATGGGTTTAGTGGTCAAACAACATCTTTTAATTCAGGTTGTTCATTTTTTGAGACATTGCCACCAACAGCGCTTCCAAATATAAAAGGTATATTTAAAAACAAGTTTGGCAATTAAAATATTTTATGCATACATTTTATTATTAAAATGCATGGTTACACACCTTCTAAGCAAAAAAAAAAAATTAAATCAAAATTAAATTTAGGTTTTTACAAAAGAGTAAGTTTTTTATAAAATTAATTACATTAAATTTTTATACAGTTAGGCAGTGGAAGGGCTAGCAAGTAAGCTTTGGATTTAGGTCTTTTGTTTTTTTGTTGTTATAATTAGCATTTTTAACTTGAAGAAAAAAACAAGAAAAATATCTTATTGCAAAATCCAAATCAAAAAAAGTTAAGAGTGTTTCTACCATTTTTAACTACAGGGTCATTCCATATCAATTCACCTAATGGTCCGCAGGGTACCACCTCAGAATTGCTTTAAATTTTGACCACCCACAGTTGTTGTGAAAAAACACAATCCTGAAAACTTCAGCTTAATTGACCAATCTGTTTAAAATTTATAAAATCAGTTCTGACCAAAATTGTAGAAACTTGAGTATCTGGAGCTTGCAGTAGATTTTTTTGATTTTTGACAGACAATAGCTTTTAAATAAAAATGGTGACTACCTGAAAAATTGTATAGTAACAATTTTTTACTCAAATAATTTATTTTTGCAGTTGTTTTTGAATGACTTTAAACAATTTTTAAGATATCGTTTCTCAAAATAGCTAAAAAACTAAAAATATTATTTTTGAAGCTTTAGTTACAGTTCAATACCTACCAAATGCTATAGTTCAATACCTACAAACAGGCAGGCAGACAATTGGCAGTGCCAATTTTTGTTACTTTTGTATCCTTAGGGTAACCAAATGTAGAAAATCAAAATTATGTGTTAAAAGTTAGTTTAACACTGATTAGAAAACAGTAAATTATGAAACTTTTTACACTGGAAGTAAATCACTAAAAAAAATTTAAAGACCTATAGACCTCAAATAATAGTATCGGAAAAAAAAGTAAAAATGCATAAACTATAATAATTTAGATAAACTTTTAGATGCAAAAAAAACTAAAAAATAAAGAAAATTTTCAGTTATTCTCTTTACCTTTAGATAGTTGGTCAATTGAAAAAACGTACAAAACAATTTCAGTTTAAAAACATCATGTTAAGAAAACTCAAAAGTTAAAAAGTGAAAAAGGAATACTTGCTAAACCTGAGGCTAAAAAAGGTGTCAAATAGAAAGTCATTGAAGTTTATGAATCTGAAAAGTTCACACGACAATGTCCAGGAAAATAAGAATTTGTTTCTGTGCGTATAAATAGTGTAAAAGTGAATAAAAATGCTTAATATTAGTTCGTTTAAAGGAACTTCATAAGTAATTTAAAAAGTTATACCCTAAATAAAAATTTGGATTCAGTGTTACATCACAGTTGACAGCAGTAAAAGTCACAAGTTTTTGTTCTTTTCATTAAAATGCCAAGTTAATCTGCTTTACCTAAGGGGCTATTAATATATTACAAAGATTTGATGAAAGTATGTGTTTGTAATATAAATAGTCAAAGCTGCATGTTTCATTTATGTTCCAACTGCCCTGGTAAAATAAATTTGAAGACTTACAACGAAAATGTGTTTGAAAAAATTATTTTGATGACCAGTTCACATACAAACAAGGGTATCAACTGACCAAAATGTACTTGTAAAATACTTATGTAAGTATATAATTTAATTCTGATTAAGAAAATATATTTAAATTTAATAAAATTAAAGTTAGTGCTTGGTTTTAACTTAACTGTCAAATTTATTATAAAACATTACAAAATATTGTTCAATATTTAAATTTTATTTATTCTTATACATTTTTATTGCCATTATTTTTTCGGTTTTCCTTGCAAACATTTTTTTTACTAAAAATTAAATTACCTGTAAATGTATTCCGAGGCTGCATCAAAGTTTTGCACAAAAAAGTACGTTAAACTTTTTTTTTATAATGCAGGTTAAAGCAGAGCAATAATTATTTATTAAATGGTATATATAGCGATATGATTTTAATAAATAATGTTTGGATAATCTTTGCTTTCACAACAAAATTGCTGCTAAAGTAATACCCCTTTAGTTAATAAAGTTAACTAACATAATTTTTTTATTTTCGCTGAATTTCTAAAATAAAATATCATTTTTGTTGTAAAGCTGCAATTAAAAATTTAAGAAATAATAATTTAAAAGAACAAACTGTGACTGGCTCTTTGTTGATCCAAGGTTTGTGCAAAATTTGTGATCCTAGGTTTGTGTAAAACAGAAAGTTAATTGAATAAAAAGTTAAATGCAAGTTAATTAGCGGTATTTGAAGATTACATCCCTCATTATAGATAGATTGTAATGTTTTATAACATTTATCAATATTTAAATTTATAAAATAGTTAACCTAATTGATATCTTTATTTACCAAGTGACCATTTTTAAAACCTTGTTAAGATAAAGAAAACAGAATTCTAGAAGGGCTTGAAGATTCTACAGGATAAATCCAAGTTAGAATTAAATGAGCCTTTTTTGGTGCAGTAAAGTTGAGATTATTTTTCAAGAGAAAATGTGTTGAGAATGTTCAGTTAAGATAAAATCTAGGGCGCTAGTTGGGCCTAATATAGATTTTAATTGAAAAGTATTAAAATCAACATGTTTTGTTAAATAGTTGTAATCAAACAACTCAATAACGTCTTCAACTAGCACGTTTGTGGTGGTTGCAGTATAATTAGACTATGTGTTACTGTCAAGATTAGAGTCTCTTATGATTAGAAGACCCGAGAATGGTTTATTTTTGACTAATTTAAATGCAAAATTTATAGAGGCTTCAATTTGGTTATATAAAAGGTCATTACTGAGAGGTGGACATAAACTGTACACTAAACTTGTTCAGTGTCAGTTTTGTTGAGTTTAAGTTACTTCATAGCTTATTAGTGTTACAGATATATAAATAATATATCTGACACACTAATAAACCATAAATCTATAATAATAACATGTCTGGAATCATATGTTTCTTTCAAGAGTCCCCAACACATATGAATCTATTACTACGGATGGTAAAACAAAAGGCATGATCCTTTTGCCAGCTATCAAGTTTTTCTTTGTTAAGCCTGTTACATTCTATATGTAGTAATTTTGATTGTTTTGTTGAGCAGAAGTGTCATCTGGGTTTATGTAGATACCATTTTGAGCATTGTAAAGTCTTAGTTTATAGGCAACTATGAGAATGCTATTTCTTTCTTCTACATTGTTCTAAACTACTTTAATAGACCTGCTTGAGCTGAGGTCCTTTTGTCATCTCTGAAGCATCTAATAGCAACATGTTTACATTCAAAATTAAGTTCGTTTAAGGATGGCGTTACCAGTACTGTCATGTTCGATATGGTCACCAGCTACTGAAGAAGGCAATGTCTTAGTACCAAAAATAATAAAATTTTGTTGTTTTCTTTATTTTTCTTGGACTTCACATGCATTTGCATCAAGTAGTTCCAATTAAGTTCTTAATCAAGTTACTTTGCCTCTTTCAGAAACAACTGAGGCCCAGTTTGAACAGCTGAAGTTTGTTGGATTGCTGTTGCTAGTGTTAAGTTAGTGATGAAATAATGCTTTCATCTTTAGCCTGCTGTTCCTCTAGTGCTATTATTTTTGCTTCTTGAATAATTTTCTTTTTTTTAAGATACTCTATTTGTTCACGCAAATATAGATATGCACTCATATTTTTTTTTATGTAAATAAAAAGTAAAAGTTTTAATTTTAATTTTTTATTTAGGCCTTTTTAATTTTTTCAAAACATCTTCATTTTACACCACTTTAGGGTGCATTAAAATAATAGTTTAGGGTGCATTAAAATAATAGTTTAGAACCTTGATATGTAATAGCATCAAAAAGTTGTCAAATTCAAAACAAAGAAAAAAAATTGCTGATTCTTAGATTCTCTAAACTGGAAAAAGGAATCAAAGTTACTAAAACGCTATTTTTTTTTTTTTTAATTTATTTTATTTATTCATTTTAAATTCGACTATTTGACTTTTTATTGCTACTATATATCAAGGCTCCAATAATTATTATTTCAGTGCACCCTACTATTATTATAACTATCAACAGTTCTTGTCATACTTACTGGCACATACTTTTGGAAAGTAGGCCAATTTACTTTTGGAAAAGAGTATGAAAACAAGAAAAAATAGGAAAAAATAGTTTTTCAATACCTGTTTATATTTAGATAGCATATTACAATATTAACAAAAAATAGCCCGTCAAAGAATTTGGTATACTTTTTACTTAAAAAAATTAAACAAAAACAGCTAACATAATTCTAGTCAAGATAAATGCAATAGAAAATACATGTAATGCTAAACTGAAGATTTGCTGTTATTAAAAATATCTTTAATAACTGCATGATAGGTCAACCATCAATAGAGTTTCTGTGGTTATAATGTTTTTTCAATCAATCAAGTTGATATAGTTAGTTGTCTAAATTTGATAATTCAGGTTAAAATATACTCTGGGGCACATTTTGGTGTCTGTGTTTTTGGTACCGATTAATCTAGGTTTTTATATCATTTATTTTTATAATTATGAAGACATGGGTTTTGATAATGAGACTTTTTACACAAATAGACAAGCACTCTAAGCACTGCATTGTGGTCTCTAAGCACTGCATTGTGATCTCTATACACTGCATTGTTTTTCTTTATAATTTATATTTGTTGTGATAAGTTAAAAAAATTTCAAGTCAAAAATGTTGTTACGCAAAAAATGTCAACAAAATATTATAGAATACTGCTTAAGAGTTCCTTATTTTTTGTATAGTTTTTATATATTTATCTTTTTGTAAATTTTTATTTGTACAATTTTGGAAACATAGATTTTATTTA